TTATCTTAATTAACTTCCTTATTCCACTAGTGTTATGGTTTCATTCCACGAGTAGTGTAAAAGATCTTACTAAATTCAACTGAAAATAACAACTTTTACAGTATCTTTTAGTACTCTCACACATGCTTTGTGTTGATCATCTTTTAAAAAATTGTTAGATTGTTCTTTAATTGCGGAAAATTCTTTTCTATTCTAACTCATTTAATGGGGATAAAAATTTCAATAACTACCACTACGTGGAGCGTAGTAGGAATAAAGATAGATTCTGTTAAATATTGCACAATATTTTTGTCTGCTACATAACTAAAGTGCAATTCCACCCTGTGATATAGCTTAGTGGTTGAAGAAAGGAATGGGTGCGAATCACGCACATGACAAATGTTCTTAAACAATCAAGTTCGCTATTATTTTCTATTAATGTTGCATTCTTTCGCAAAAAAAATTGACATTTCTAGAAATATTTTTCAAGAAGTCATGTTTGAGAAAATGATGGAAACTTTCACATGTTGGGCTAAAATATGCAAATGAATTGGAAAATTTTATCAGTCATTTAGAAAGGAAAATTTACTTTTATTTTCTAATTAGACATGCATTCTTCGTATAATATAAGGGCTGCACATGCTATAAGGTTAACTTTTAAATAAATATCATCGAATTAAAATTTCATAGCATACATACTTTAATAAATGATAACCAATTTCTTTTTTGCTCTTAGGTCCGAAGTCCTAAACCTTTTTTTTTTTTGGTCGAATAAGTCCTAAACCTAGGCGCAGGGGAACTGGCATTGGCTGTTGGGTTCCCAGGAAGTTGGGCATGACACAGAGGTATTGGACCCAGCCTTAAGGGATTAGGCCTGACCCGTTAGGGTCCTAGACCCAGGTGTCGAGGCCCTGGCTCAAGCGTCACGAATTGGGCCTTAGCCACAGGGGACTCGGGCCTGGCCACCGGGGTTCCCCAACCTAGGTGTCGAGGTCCTGGTCAAAAGAGTCGGGGTTTCTCAAGTCAACCATTGGGAGCCCGAGTATGGGCACTGGGTACCTAAGCCCGCCCACGGAGGACCCGGGCATGGGCACCCACCCTTGTGGACTAAAAGTGATCGGTACCAAGGTGGGCCACTTCCACCTTGGAATCGGGACCCGAACCAGAGGGGCCGGTTCCCAGTTTGTGGGATCAGGAATCGGCCCACCTGGTCCTAGTGCCAAACCGGACTAGACCGATCGATCCAATTTGGTTCCTGAGTGGGTTCTTAGAACCAACTCCTTCTATCTTTTTTTTTTTTTCCTAATGAATTCTGAAAGCAAACTTGATATACAAAAGCCAAAGCATTGTACCCACTATCCAGTAACAACCTCAGCTTGCGATACCTTGTCGTACCCACTGCCCATTAACAAGAAGAGCATTGCTTGTTGCAGCTATAACAAGCAATGCACATAGTACAGCTAGCTAACTTGGAAACGACATGGTAATTTCAATTCTACGGATCCTAGTTGTGATGAAAAGTGAAAATGACATGCTTGCTTTCAAGCTACTGAAATTGACGAATTCAGAGACTCTCAAGAGAGATAAAAGTTGTGCCTGAGAGAGGTGTCGACGATCGAGCAAGAGGGTGGTGTCGAGGTGAGGCCGCGAGATGGCGTGATCGTGATTGAGAAAAACGAGAGGGAGGCATCAATAGTCGAGCAAGAGGGTGGCATCTAGGCGAGGCCGCGAGACGGCGTGAGTTGTGACTAAGAGAGGCATCAACGGTCGAGCAAGAGGGTGGTGTCGAGGTGAGGCCACGAGACAGCGTGATCGTGATTGAGAAAAACGAGAGGGAGGCATCGACAGTCGAGCGAGAGGGTGGCGTCTAGGCGAGACCGCGAAACAGCGTGAGTCGTGACTGAGAGAGGTGTCGACGATCGAGCGAGAGGGTGGCTTCGAGGTGAGACCGCAAGACAGCATGAGTTGTGACTAAGAGAGGTATCGCGTGACTGAGAGAGTTTGTGAACGAGAGAGAAAATCTATCGGTTAGGGTTTGTGAAGTTGTCAACGGGAGGCGTGAGTTTGTGAACAAGAAAGGGAAAATCTGTCTAATTAGGGTTTGTAAGAATTAAAAAAGAATCGGTATGATCCAGGTGGGTGGATCCACACCAAGAACTGAGAACCAGACCGATTTTCACTAGTTCGGTCTGGTTGGAGCGATTCCCAATTGGAGCGATTCCTTTTGCTTATCTCTATTGCGGACCTAAACTCGGGTGCCAAGGAACCGAGCCCAATTTTGATGAACTCGGGCTAGGCGCTAGTAACTTGGGCTAGGGAGCCAAGAATTAGACACGTTCACGGGGAACCTAGGCATAAGCATCGGGGTTTTAGGCCAGGTTTCGAGGGACATGGGCCTACCATCTATAAACTTGGGCCAAGGGGAACCATGCCTGACCTCGGCGGACCCAAACTCGGGTGCTAGCGACTTGGGCATGAGAGTCGGATACCCGGGCATGGTCGCTAAGGAGCTGAGCACAATTTCGGGTGTAGTGCCATGATCTCTGGTTCAAATGTCGATATTTAGTCGCATTTTGGAATTTTTTTTTCTAATTTTAAAAATATATATTTGTCTAAATTGAAGCATAGATTCCTATTGATTACCAGAAAAAATTATTTTATTCATTTTTCTAAGCGATTAAATGTCGAAAAGTAAGGACAATGTTTTCCGACATAAATTTGTTTGCATGCCAAACTCAGCCTTAAATCTCTTTTATCAAGACTTTTAATTTGGATTGGAAAATGCATTTATTGCGAGATGATCTTTTTTTTTTTCGATGTATGTGTCCATAAGTCGTCAATTATGGGCAAGCTATATTAGTTGCCATACATGTTTTTGTTTGTTAGAAGTATCTGAAAAGTTGCAAAGGTGTTTCAGGTCAATATGTCACCTAAACAAAACCCATGGCGTCCACAAAAAACAGGTCAGCTCTGGTTGTGTTCCGACATAATACGACTAAATTAAGGTTTGCAACGAGCTTTATGGGTTTCACAAGCTGTAATTAACCAGAAGACAGATGGAAATGAAACAGAATCGACGAAAGGGGTTGCTGCTCGACCCCCATAAATAGATGAATCTCTCATCAGAAGGCCATTTGATCTCCATTCTCTCTCCAACACAGCAAAAGCTAAGCTAAGAGAATGGGGGAGTTGCAGAAGCAAGTGAAGGAGAAGGCCAAGGACTTGAAGGAGAAGGCCAAGGACTTGAAGAAGCACTTGCTCAAACACGGCCGGAAGGCGATGGGCGCTTGTAAGAAAGGATGGGAGAAGCTTCGAAAGAAGATCAATGTCTGATGATCCGCACGCGGGTCGATTTGTCTCTTTGTTCCTAGAGAACACTGATTATTGACTTTTAAATTTGCAATGAGTTACTGTTTCTTTTTGTTTCATAGCAGAGGTAATTATCTAACCTTTCCATCTGTTTCGAATGATTACATGTAATCGTTATCTGAACAATGGATTGCGTTAGTCTTTTACGTGAATAAGATTGCATTTTGTTAATTGTGACTGATTTTTTTTATTTATTAAATTGTGTTTCTCTCTCTTTACGAAGTAATTTGCTTTGTGTCTCGGGGGCAACTGGCGAGTAAAAGGATAAAGATACTTCAAAAATATTGAACACCAATGGCGTGGTAGGACCGCTATATCTTATAGCAGTCCAAAATGAAATTAGATATATTATAGGAAGTACAAACATATAACGTTTGCTATTTCCAAGTAAAGATTCATTGACGCAGGAAATGCTCTTTAATTGCATGGATTTAAATACCACATGAATTCGTTATGAATTGCTCAATCGGACTAAGACGGTAAGCTTTGTAAATCCTTCGAATTAAAATTACAATTCTTTTCTGTGATCGACGGTAGGTTGCTATGGTAATTGCATTGATCAAATTTTGCTCTTCAGATCTCGCAATGCATGTTAGCTTCGTGTCTTTCATATTGAGAGACTAGGAAATTTGGGCATCTTGTGCTAAGTTGTTAAAATACAATTCCTCATTGCTCGATTTCATCTTGCGTTATGGCTCCGCATGAAAGCTGGGCTAGGTGTTCTTCCCTAGGCTCTGTTAATAGAAAAATGACCAAAGTTAGTTCTATTTTCCAAATTATTTTTATGATCATTGCATCAAAATCAATCATATGTTTGTTGACCATAAAAATAACAAATTGGTATCCCCTCATTCAAAAAATGAAATAAAAAGAAGGCTCTTCATTTTCTCCTATCGATGGACAACAATTGTATTGTTAATTAAACATCAATAGCTTCCTTTCATCTCCAAACAAACATAAGATGTTACGTATCTTAATTTTTCCTTTCCCCCCTATTTACTGTATTAATTTTTAAATCTAGTTAACAAAAAAGCTTCTTGAAACTCAACTTATCTTTTATATATAGAAGTGTACTTTCAACTTCTTTTTCATTCAAATCAATCGATTATTGTACCATTTATGAGTGTATTATATGATTTGGGATAAGATATCGGAATATCACGATTGTCAGATGGCACGATTAACCCTAACCGTGATCATATATAATCAAATTTTGATAGTAAATTTCCTATTTCAAAACAGAAATAACGGTATCGAAATAATCTGTTAATCGAAATATATGTCCCATAAAAGTTTTATTTTTGTCCGAATAGACATGGCGCGTATTCTAATTATATCCAGTGCCATCCACTCCCGATATCTCGTCCATTCCTATTGGACTGGTGGGGCCCATCGCTTTGATCAGAAGATTTTCTCCCCGCCCTCACAACCTCAGCCACATGAGATCAGATCACCATCTTTAACAAAGGTCTCTTACTCGCTCCTCTTCTTTAGTATTGCCGGGGCCCACATGCAGATAAGGAAAGATAAGCCCGAAACTCCCTCCGCCGTCAGATGGATACGCCCTCCCATCCGACGCCCCATAACCTCCGCCTTAGATTGTCAGAATTCTACCTTCGAAATCCCGAATATAACCACCAAAACAACGTAATGCGATGATCATACCACCACCGTCCGGAACCTCGCTCGCTCGGCCTCCTCGGCTTCTTCTTCTTCTACAACCACCACACAACAGCCGATGGCCGCCATGACGACCGCCGCTGCCGCGTCCTCGTTCATCGGGACCCGCCTGCCGGAGGTCCCCGGCTCCGGCCGGGTCCAGGCCCGGTTCGGGTTCCGGACCAAGAAGGCCGCCCCCAAGAAGGCGGCGAAGCGGAGCCCGGACCGGCCGCTGTGGTACCCGGGGGCGACGGCGCCGGAGTGGCTCGACGGGAGCCTGGTCGGCGACTACGGGTTCGACCCGTTCGGGCTGGGGAAGCCGGCGGAGTACCTGCAGTTCGAACTGGACTCGCTGGACCAGAACCTTGCCAAGAACGAGGCCGGCGACATCATCGGCACCCGCTTCGAGACCTCCGACGTGAAGTCGACGCCGTTCCAGCCGTACACTGAGGTGTTCGGGCTCCAGAGGTTCCGCGAGTGCGAGCTAATCCACGGCAGGTGGGCCATGCTCGCCACCCTCGGCGCCCTCACCGTCGAGTGGCTCACCGGCGTCACCTGGCAAGACGCTGGCAAGGTTATATTCCTTTTCCCTTTCTCCGTTCTTTCTGGAATCAGATGATGTAAAGAGGAAAAGAGTTCCATCCGTGCTTGATTTAATTGGCTAATCTTCTGATTTACACTGTAAAGTAAAGGCCTCTTTTAACCAATTATAAGGTTACGTAATGCGTTTAAGTGTTTGCTTGTGAATCTGCTTGATTGCTTAATCTGTGTCAGTGTAGCCTCGTGTTCGTGAGCTTTAAGACTCTAGCTCTGCATTCCCTTGCCGGTTGAGAAATCTGTAGAAGCTCATCATCTATGGCCATTTCCATATCAGGTGGAGCTTGTTGAAGGGTCATCTTACCTCGGGCAACCGCTCCCATTCTCCATCACCACGCTGATCTGGATCGAGGTCTTGGTGATCGGGTACATCGAGTTCCAGAGGAACGCCGAGCTTGACCCCGAGAAGCGGCTCTACCCGGGAGGCAAGTTCTTCGACCCGCTCGGCCTGGCCGCCGACCCCGAGAAGAAGGCCACCCTCCAGCTAGCGGAGATCAAGCACGCCCGCCTCGCCATGGTCGCGTTCCTCGGCTTTGCCGTCCAGGCCGCCGCCACCGGGAAGGGCCCCCTGAACAACTGGGCAACCCACTTGAGCGACCCCCTTCACACGACCATCATCGACACCTTCACCTCCTAGAGTCCGAGCTTCAATTTGTCCAGAATCTGTGGCAATTTGAGGATGAAATGTTTATGCTATGGTCTTTGACCCTGTAAAAAAAGAGTTCATTACCCTTTACAATGTTAAGTAGAATGTGATGTTAAATCGCTAAATCATTTCGAAGCCAAACCGGAAGAGCTCTTAAGTAATCCGATCCCATCCCATGATTCACTGGGTGGTGTGGCATCAATTTCTATTGACTCATCCTATGCAGGGAGTGTCAATGGGCAAGAACATGTTGGTTGCTAGATTGAAGAACAGGGCTGCAATGTGATTTGATCTGATGAGCAGGCCTCGCTAGCTAAATGCCACTTGCATGATAGTGTTGCAAGAATCTATAGAGTGAAAGATGAGTTCATTATTTTTATTTTTCGATCAGGAAATTATTAAGACAAACTCGCATGAGCGAGGGAGAGAATAGAAGTGATCGCTTGGGTCAAATTTTGAGACACGTAGTTAAATTGTACCTGTTAATAACCCCTCTAAGACAAAATGACTTTCCCAGATCAACTAATGGAGGATCCTAAAAATTATTGACGACTAACATAATTAAATTATATTGTGTCATTAACTTAATGGTTTCGGTTTATAAAGACTTACAAATAAATTAAGTGAGAAATAGGAGGGGGTTGCCCGATCAGCATGGTGGCAACCACCGCTGTCGGTAATATTTGACCAATGGCGACTACCCTCTACTCAACTGAGGGTAAGCACGGCCTTCGGATGAGGACCGGGCTTGCTCGAGTCACAACTTTAGTTGAGTCGATCGCCTTCCTAGGGATCGCTCCCTCACGACCCTCAACCAAGAGTCACAAACGGTGATCGACTATGGTGGCAGCCTTAACCCCGGCTGTCTCCCATCCTCGTTCTCTACTTTCTTTTCTTATTTCCCAGTTTGTGTTTTAAAAATTTTCTTTGATTTATTCAATGTTTTTTGAATTGTTACATTAAATTATATAAAGCGCATACTTTTTCTAGAATAATAAGTTATCTACATTGAGTAATGCTAATTAGCTATTTCAGTTTTTGACCAAAAAAAAAATTAGTTATTTCAGTTACCACACAATCTGAAGCGGAGATTGTCAACACGTAATGCTAAAATTGACAGGAAATCAATCCTTTAGGCCTCGGCCCCGAAAATTCTCTGTCATTGGATCAGTGACCCACAATCTTTGATCCAATAACCCAGATTGCTAAAATCTATTTCAAAAAGAGTAGAAGGGATCGTTGGGTCACTTGACCAGTGACTATTGGCGGCTGGCCTCCTCTCATTTTTAACCGGTTCTCAATCTTCACTCACATATCACTTCTAAAAGCTCTTTCTCTCTAAACCTTTCTTCTCAATTTCGTTTATTTCCTTTATTTACAAAAATTTAATCACGTTCGAAGTTTTGCAACATAGAACAACAACAACCGTGTCAGATTATCCTAATACAGTCCGAACTTTACCTTATAATTATCTTGAGACTCGTTTCGTGAGTACAGAGAAAACAATGTACACATGCTAGCTCCATCCCCGCACCCAACCAAATACTCTATGACAAGACATAACGACCTATGGTTGGGAAGAATTGCAGGGGCGGACACCGGAAGGTAGTCTCCGCCAAGACGTTTTCCCGGATCATACCCCTAACTCCAAAGAGCCCCAAGCAATTGGGGGCGAACTTCGTAGAGAAGAAGGTCCTGTGTCTGGAGGACATTTAGACTCGAGGTCGATGTCAATGATAACAGGGAAGGCCATTTGCCCCGTATATTGCAAATATTTAGTTGGCAAATCGGCAAGTGGCACAGGCCACCTGAGGAGGCACCAACGCACACATGAGGAATAGATGTCTAGGGCGGCGGGAGCTTTTCAGGTACAATGTTACATATAGGAAGTCCGCAAGGCAAGGAATCAATGGGAGCTTGCATATTATTGTGCTGCTGCCAATCAACCCTTGGACTTCGAAAATCCCCGCTTCATCCACTATGTGCAGACAACTCTCTAATATCAGTTCAAGCCCGTTTTCAGAGGAACAAAACACTAGAAACTACAAATTGTTGTACAAAGAGAAAAAGGCAATGTTGATGCATTCGCTTTAGGCTGGTAACTTTCGAGTCTCTTTGACTTTTAATTTACAGACTATTTCTACCTATCATGCACACTATGTTGTAACCGAGTATTGGGTCAATGAGAAATGAGAATTATGTCACCGAGCTCTTTAAGCAAATAATATTTCCGCATGATTCTCAAAATGTGGCTGTGGAAATAGCGAAACTTGTTTGTGAGTTTGGCATCACCGATAAGATCATCAACATCACGCACCTCTCTGATTCACTCTTTGGTCTAATAGTTAAATTCCACTTACAACTGGAATTTCTTCCACGTGTGGTGTGTGCGCCACTACATTGACTTATACGTACAAGATGGTTTTCGCCAGCTTTACGATTTCGTGTTCAACATACGTGGGCAGGTTTAATACATCAAATGCACTCAAATGAGGCATCAAGACTTGGAGGTTCAGTAAAGAAGGCAAGGAAGGCAAGCTGAAAAGTTCCTTCTCGACGTAAGTAGGAGGTGAAATTCGACGTATAAGATTTTGAAGAAGACGCATGAGGAGATGAGTGTGCCGTTGCTCTTGTCCATCACTAAGTGCTGGAGGATTACCGAAGTCTTTAAAGGACTTGTTGAAGGTCTTTAGCTATGCGACGGATGCTTCCAGCGCCGACGATTGTCCGCCAAGGAACCGAGCCCTTCCATTTTTCTACTACGGGGGGGAGAATATAAGCAAAACACTCCTCATAAAATTAATCAGTCTTTTTGTAAAGGCAAGCTTGTCGAGAATTTTGTAATTTTTATATCGCTGTACGTATTCGCCGCGCAAAAAGGCGAAATTGTCCTTATCGACGAAGGCAATTTCGTAAAATCGGTCGACACTCGCGCCCGCCGACATATAACCCACCTCCCCATCGCCCATATATATTCGTTTCAGATTTCGGAGCGAATCCCGCAGTTAGATATTAGAGAGAGAGAGAGAGTGGGAGCGGTGACGGCGACTGCGAGGACGACGTCGACGGAACCGCCACAATCCGTCGGAACCCTAGCAACGCGAGCTCGATTTCTCCGGTGCACATTGTTGCGATTTCTTCTTCCGGTTCAACGCTCCCCGGCGATTTCGGCCGGAGCGAGCGAGCGAGCGAGGGAGCTTCCTATGAGCCGTCTAGCGTTCAAGTCCGCGGTGTACCACGGCTATTTGCGCCTGGGGGAGCTGGACGCGGTCCCGGCGAACGGCGACAGCTTCCAGTTCCCCAACAACGAGATTCGGATCCACCACATCTCCCCGATCAGCGAGAGGTGCCACCCTCTCTCGATCCTCCAGACCGTGTCCTCGTTCTCGGTCCGGTGCAAGCTCGAGCCGTCCTCCGCGGTCGAGCAGGCGAATTTGATCAGCCTGCACGACTCTTGCCTCCAAGAATTCAAGGTCTCTGTTCGCGACGAATCGTCCGATTTCAATTGCTCGAAAGTCGCTCTGTGTCCTTTTAGTCTTACTGTTGAATGTCTTTCGTGTGGTACAGAGTGCTTGGTTATTATGATCAGGTCTTGCATTGTCTCTGCAGCGTGTAGTGTTTCTGTTGGTTTTAGAGAGTGTGTGAGTGAGAGGTCTGATGGATGAATCTGGTTTTGGCAGACTGCCTTAGTGTTGCTTGGCGAAGAAGAAATACACTTGGTGGCAATGCCGAGTAAGCAGAAGAAGTCCCCGTGCTTTTGGTGCTTCTCCGTTCCTTTGGGTTTCTACGACTCCTCTCTGGGATTGTTCAATCTACGGTGCCTCGCGATCGTGTTTGATCTCGACGAGACACTCATTGTTGCCAACACAATGAAGTCTTTCGAGGACAGAATTGAGGCTCTTTGACGCAGGATTGCGAGGGAGACTGATTCGGTGAGGATGTCAGGAATGTCAGCTGAACTGAAGTGGTACGTAGATGATAGAACGCTATTGAAGCAGTATGCAGACAGTGATCGCGTCATGAATAATGGAAAGATGTACGAGGTTCAGGTTGAGGAGGTCCCTCAGCTTTCAGATAGCCTTGAGAAAGTTGTTAGACCTGTAATTAGATTGCAGGAAAAGAATATCATCCTCACTCGCATCAATCCTGAGGTTAGAAGATACTTGCTGCTATTCTTGTTTAGTCTTTTACTTCTTGTTTTGTTTTTTGTGCTTTCGCATAAGCTGTCTCTAATAGATGGAACACTGGCTCTGTGGGGGATGATTACTCTTTAAATTGATGTCGTCATGCACCATAGGCATGTGTTTTGTGGCAAATCAGAACCAGGACTTTTTCTCTTGCATCAAGGATAACATAGTTAGAACTGATCAACGGGTTTGAAGCAGGAAAAAAATGACCATCGACTCATTACTTATAGAAAGAATGCTGGCTCCCCTTATTTAATTCATTTATCTACAGTAGCGGCTCGTGCAATAATGTTTTTTTTTTTAATTTGTTGGCATCTGACAAAAGTTGGGAGTTCTTGTGGGCCTTTCTAGTGAGCAAAGACATACCGAGTCCCAATGGTTATGAGCAAGGCATGTTTTATATTCAAGGGTAAACTACAATCTAGGTTGTGGCTTTCAACAGAAGTTGCTGATAAAATGTTTTTTCACATTGAGAAAGCGGTGTGCATAATGGTGGGCAAACTTCTATTGTCATCAAATTCAATTCGTCTGTCCATGATTCAGTATTGAGTTATTGCAGGCAGGTTTTGATTGAAGAGGTTCCACTTCTTGTTTCTATTTGCAATGTCTTGTTCACCCAACTAAGAAAAAATCATACTCACTAGATAATGGTTAATGATAATATTTCTAAGGTTAATGCTGAATTATACGTTTCAAGATATAGAAAGCCTCTTGTATTTTTCTTCTCAGCATCTTTATTCCCTTTATGCAGATCCGTGACACCAGTGTGCTAGTGAGATTAAGACCTGCATGGGACCACTTGAGGAGTTACTTAACAGCTAAAGGACGTAAGAGGTTTGAAGTTTATGTGTGCACAATGGCTGAAAGAGACTATGCTTTGGAGATGTGGAGGCTTCTTGACCCCGAAGCACACCTAATTAATAGAGAACAAGTCTTTAACCGTGTTGTTTGTGTCAAATCAGGCAAGTTGTCTGCTAATGTACAAATTAAGATGCTTGTAGGAGATGGTATGTGTGGAGTTTGCGAGTTGATTACTATATGATGAGTTAATAATTTGATGGTTCATCGTCGTGCAGTAATTTCTACTTTCTGTAGAACCTCACATGCTGATCTGGTTATACGTGGAGTGAACCAACAGGAGAAGGTTCGAAATGGGGAATTTGGGGAATCAACTTTGTAGAACCTCACATGCTGATCTGGTTATACGATGAGTAACCAACAGGAGGATGAATATGCTAATGGCAATGGTGTCAGTCAATGGGATGTGTTACATGTACACAGACTTACTAACACTTGTTTCAGATATTTATTGGGTTTTATGATACTACCTCCCATAGTCCCACTAACTTTAGTCCACCTGGCTTTGCAACCATAGTATTAGTTTTTCTTTCTTGTTTCATGAAATTTCATAGTTAAAAATCTTGATTAATGATTCAGGTATGCCACCTTTCGATTGCCTATCTCTTCTAACTACTAGGATGTTAATTTTATTACTTAGGCAAATTCTACTGAACAACTGTTCCTCATTTTCACATTGCTGCTCAACCGTCTTCTTGTCCGGTAGTGTCTATGCCTAATATGTATGAATGGCAGGTTCAAGGAAATCATTGCTAAATGTGTTTCGGGATGGTAATTGCCATCCCAAGATGGCAATGGTGATTGATGACCACTCAAAGGTTTGGGAAGACAGGGATCAACCACGAGTGCATGTAGTTCCTCCATTTGCTCCATATTATGCTCCTCAGGCAGAGGTATGAGATCATGAATTCATTATGTCTTTTCCGGGTAGTCCTTTTGTTATTCTTGTGAAAGAAAATTCCACTGAGCTTATTTTTGTGCCTAAATGTCATTATGTCAGTCGGGCTGATTTGCATGAGAAATGGGAAGACAGTCACTCAAACAATTAAGGGTTATTATTTTATAAAAACTTCTAGATCTTGTTTGGTACTGTGATTCTAGCTAAGAAACGGGAATGAAATTGACATTGCCAAAAAGGTAACATCATAGATAGTCCATTAAATAGGGCTCGCATTTGGCAATAGAACGGTAAATTGTTTGTATGTTTGCAATAGTCTGAAACCATAAAATTCAAACAGTAGGAAGGAATACTCATATACGTAACTTTCGCCAAATGCAGTAATATTCGCATTGTTTACCATTTTAATTATTTTATTTCTATTTTTTGAAAATTTTGGATTTTTTTAATTATTTTTAATTTTATTTTTTCCTTTTCTCTCCTCCTTCCTCCGTCGCGACTGGCCGGCAACGGCCATAGGCGAGCTTGAGCTCGCCGGCGTCGGGCAAGCCACAACCTTGCCGGCCTTGGCCGAGCCTCGAGCTTGCTGGCCTCAGCGGAGCTCGGGCTCGCCTGGATCTGAGCCGCGAGCTTGCCGGTCTCGGCCGAGCTCGGGCTCGCCTGGATCTGGTGAGCCGCGAGCTTTCCGGTCCAAGCCCGGGCTCGCCTGGATCTGGCAAGCCGCGAGCTCGCCGGCCTCGGCCGAGCTCGGGCTTGCCTGGATCGGCCGAGCCTTGAGCTTGCCGGCCTAGGTCTTGGCCGGTCGCTGACCTGCCGGCATTCGCCGAGCACCGGTGGAGGAAGGAGGAGGAAGGAAAAGAAAGAAAAGGGAAAAGAAAAAAAGAGAAAGAAAGAAGAAAAAAGAAAAGAAAAGAAAAAGAAAGAAAAAAAGAAAAGAGAAGAAAATATTAAAAATAATAACAAAATTCGATTTTTTTAAAATAATTAAAAATTCGATTTTTTAAAAATAATTAAAAATTCGATTTTTAAAAAAAAATATTTTATAAGAATAATTTCATTAATCCAGAAAAAAAGACAGAAAATAAAAAATAAAATATTAAAAAAGTCAAGATCAGCAATTTTGGAAAGTGTTTTCACTTTCTTAGATTGGGGAATTCACTTTCCTAATTTTATACATGAATTTTTCCTTGACCGGAAAGTGTTTTTGGGTTGACTATCATTTCGGCGAACCAAACAGGTGAAAGTCCGGAAAATAAATTCCCAGAAAACACTTTCCCTCAAACAAACACACTCTTATCTTATATCCATTTTTCATTTTTTTTGATTTGTTGTGGCTTTTCTGGGCATGTTGTTGAGGTTTCATTTATGAAATGGGTTTTCCTATGAATAATATAGATGAAAGTATGAATACACATTTTCTTTTGGGGTATTTCTCAGACTGCAAATGCTATTCCAGTCCTTTGTGTGGCAAGAAATGTAGCATGCAATGTCAGGGGTTACTTTTTCAAGTAAGTATCTAGGTTTCAGTTAAAGTTTATAAAGCCATATACAATGAAAGATTGGATTCGAGTGCATTCTGATCTCTATATCGTCTGATTGAGATGTAATATTTCTCATCCAGGGAGTTTGATGAAAACCTATTAAGCAAAACCTTTGAAGTATTTTATGAATATGAGGTGGTTACTTTACCCCATTCCCCTGATGTGAGCAATTACTTGATGTCAGAGGTATTTGAACTGACGTATTCAATATGCAGTCATTAGAGAAATCTGAAGGCTTGTTAAAGTGCTCATCTATGGTTATCATCTGTCCTTAATGTCAGGACTTTGGTTTTGCTCCAAATGGCCCTGAAAATACTCCACTTGCTGATGGAATGCATGGTGCAGAAATCGATAAAAGACTTAATTTTCCGGTAACCTTTGATATAGGCTCTGGTCACTTTTCTACAAATACATTCATTCGAATCAGGAATTCTGGGGTCCTGATTTTACCATGAATGTGTCCAAATTACTTTTTTTTTCATTTGTTTTCTTTTTTAGGGTAAAAAGCATGCTGTTGATGTGGCTAATAGTATCCCTGTAAAAGAAACTTCTGATGTAAAATCCGGAACATCCCAGCCAACCATCACAATAATTCCATACGCTGTTGGTCCCAATGCTTCAAGAACACTTATGCCATCTCAGAGTATGATTCTCCACTGTTAGGAACATGCGTGTCTCCTAGAGTTTGTACCCGATATGGGGTTATAAGCATGCAATCTTGATATGGGCTTATAAGCATGCAATATTCGGATACGTTACAGATTTTTGTTTTTTTTTTTTTTTGTTTGTAGAACCTGGTTTGCTTGATAATACTGCCAGACAAGATTTCAGCTTTTCGGATCAGGAACATGACATGAAAAGGAGGATTCTTACTATGAAGCATGGTCCTGACTCGAAGAATCAGGGCTCTGGTGAGCCTCCTCTCCTATCTAAACCACCAGTGCAGTTATCTACTGCCAATATCCAACCACTAGGAGAATGTCCTACGGAAGAAGACTCAAACGAAGGACATATAAATTCTGGAAGTTCTGGCTTTTCTCAAGAAGCTGATTCAAAGAAGTTCGATGAGCAGAGAGCTCATCAAAATCAGCTCGGTCAAAAACTTTCAAGTTTTAGTACCTCTTGTTTCCTCTCTAACTCATCTCAAGTGAAGGCAGAAGAGGTTTGCTTGTAACTTATATCTAATGTTTAGTTTACAAGTTACTTCTAGTTTTGATCTTAGTTCCCTTTTCACCAGGTGGGGTCTGGACATGATAAAAAAGAAGCAACGTTTTCTTCTGGAAGCCGGCAATCTGGTATGGATTTTTCTTTTTCCTTTTCACTTAGTAATACGTCTAACTACCTCGGGGTTCACCTCGGAGGGTCGTGACAGCTTCGTGACTCCACTGGGGACCGGTTAAAATCTATAGAAAACTTAGTTCTGATTTTCTCTTTTTGAAACATTTTTGTGATATCTCATCATTGCTTGTGAAATTCCAGGTACGCTCCTCTGCCGTTTGAGTGTTCTTACAAGTTGGATTTATAGGGGAAGGAGTGTTTACTAACCTTTGTTTTGTAGGGAGGTGTATGGATGAATGTTTTAATTCCGAAAAGTTCTTTTAAGCGGTGTACGCATGATATATCATGTCGTGCATGCTTTATATGCTTTAGCACTACGTTTTTACACACACCTCCCGTGATCCAAAACCTCGGGTTAACACTCTAAGAAGCCAAATAGGAGTAAAAAAAATCACCACAAATGCAATCACTTGAGTTCATATAACTTTTCAATCGATCACTTGAGTGTCATAAATTTTTAAAATTGTTCACAACAAGTGTCATGACATTTTGGATTTTGACACTTGGATGAACGTTTTTTAAAAGTTAGTGAACGTCTTTTAAGAGTCACGGCACTCGAGTGATTGAAAAAAATTTTATGGCACTCGAGTGAACGTCATACAAAAGTTATCATGCTTGTGGCGTCTTTATCCCAAAAAGGATGATGTTGAGAAGGCTGAGCCCGGCTGCAAGTAGTATCTGGTAGTGAATCGGCTCAGCCTCACTCATATCACTGGACTCATTTTTTCCGTTCGAATGGGAGCCTCGAGTACCCTAATATATCTCACCCAGTAGGCGTCGGACCTCACAAGTTATGCGCATGTCTCTATATTTTCGCTAACCTTTATCCTCTCTATGAGTTTTCATTACTCTTTATCTCTTTTTATTTGTTTACGTTGTCATAATTTATATTCCTACTCCAAATAATTTGTAATAATCAATCAAACATCCTTCTTGATTTAGGTACAAAGCAGAGGTCCGACATCCAAATCATTCTTACTCCCAATAGCATACTCTTGAAATGGTGGAAGAGACTAGATCAGAGTGGCCGCAATTACACTGATTCAAAAATTGGAAAACTTGGGTCCTTGCTTCAAGTCGTGACCCACATCAATCTAGTCCAAGCATTGGCTCACTTTTGGAATCCCGTGACGTCTACGTTCACGTTCGGTAAACATGAATTGGTCCCAACTATAGAGGAATATAACGTTGCCATAGGAGTTACCCCGATCACTAAACTTTTTAGGCCTCCCATTGGTTTAGAGCCTGCAGTTGTCTTAGCTGAATTTTTGGAACGTAAAATCAATGAGATAGAGAAGGTTTTGGAAGCTCATAACAATAGTTGTCCGCTCTCCTTTTTAGTCAAACATTATGCATATCCGACGAAGCAATCAATGTGTCACTCCTCTAGGGTGTTTCTTTTAGCATTTTTTGGTTTCGTAGTTTTTCCTCATACTAGGGATGCAATGAATCCATTAGTTGCACATCTAGTTAGGCAAGTATGTTGCGGAATGAATTTCTCCAACATGATTTTGGCCGAAACTTTCTTATCTCTCACACGATTTAAAAAGAATAAAGAAGGAAGCTTGCATGTACCAGCTGCACTTTTGGAAATATGGTTTCTTTCTCACATCAAAAAATTTTGTATCAACATGGGCCTACATGAGATTGGTGACCACACTTCTCCAATTGAAATGTTTTTGCAAAACACGAAAGTTTTTTCAAGAAGAACTCTATCCAAATGGATAAATTTTTTGAAAAACATCACTCCCAGACAATTTTTATGGCACGTTAGGTGGCCTAGATTACATATTGCGCGTCTTACCCACCAATCGGGTAATCCGATCCCCTTAGTGGGATTCACAGGGTGTACATCCTATTATCCCCTTAGGGTTATTCGACAGTACGGCGCTATTCAGGAGATCCCACCTCCCCTAAGGTCGGACCTTTTCCAATTGGACATCACCCAAAAGGATCTTAGTGAATCTCAGTCACACGTCTACCAAAAGAAAGTGGATTACATCGAATGTGCATGGCACGACTGTCACCCGCAAAAGATTACCTATGCTGGAGAGTTGGAAGGGCAAATGAAGGAACACCATGCATCCCTAGAGTACATCAATCGCCTGGTTGATTCTGAATTCTTGCCTTTCGTACCAGAGAAACCGATGAAGCTTACTCATAATGCTCTCCAAGCACAGATTGAGCAGCTCAAGCGGGACAGAGATGAGGCGCAAGCTAAAGTCTCTTATCTGGCCTTGCAGAATAAGCGGCTACGACATATCTGTGAATAGCCTGATTGTATCTAATCTAAGTTCATATTAAAATACTCCAAATTCAATCAAGAGGATTATTTTTTATAATTCATATGGGTTTTAAATTGATTGTCATCGATTTTCCTTTCCAAGATGGGGATGATTGTGCAAAAAGTCATAAAACTATTGTATGAAAGCCAATTCACTATTAAGCCTTTCAATTGTGTCAATTTAGTCATTAACCTTTTGGGGATTTGCTAATATTTCTTCGTGTCAATTTAGTTTTAAACCTTTATAAGATTTGTCAATTTGATTCTAAATTTATTATTTGGTTATTTAGTTGGAATGACTATATTGGCAAATCGTCAAAATTATGTGAACAAAATTGGCAAGTAGTCAAAAGGTTTGGGACTAAATTGGTAAATCATCAAAATGTTTGGGATTATATTGGCACAATTGAAAATTTTAGGATTAGATTGGCCTCCATCCAATAAGTTTAAGACTTTTTGCACAATTTTCCCTTCAAAGGTGCTTTCTTTTATAATGAAATCATGTCAAATAATTCATAAAGTCCCAAACGCCGAATCATGGTGGTAATTACATGAATATACATAGAGTATTTTACGGTCACGAGTGCTTTTAACTCTACTGATATGGATTTAATACGGTAGTATGGCAAATGGATAAGAGCTCATAAAGAGTGATGCCTTATGTGTCATTTCCTTTCTCGGTCCACATTCTCTCTCTTTAAGTGTCACAAAACCTGATGTATCACCTAAGAATACCATATGTCTTATTCTTATAGTTAAATTTACTTTATGTGTAACAAGACATATCTTAAGGCTAATAACTAAATGCTCCTAGCATTTACTCGAGGTTTACACAATACCTTGAGATTTTCATTGAATATATGTATTCAACATTTTAAACTGTTTCCTTTTTGGTCAAAAACTTAACCGCTATACGCTTAGACCCTTAAGATCTCTATTGTTAGAGTTATTGTTACAATACAACTATATGGTCTATCAACAAAGTCAAATACAGTTAACTCCCTAATGAGGTTGCAGAGCTAAATAGCCTGAGTAGTGGTCGTGAAGAATGCTACAAACTCTATTTGCATGATAGAAGATGATATAGATTTCTATTTCTTGCTTTTCTATTATACTAACATAAAGATCTAAATCGGAATACCTCACTAGTTGTAGGTTTTGAACATGTCTGTAAATCAGCATATAGTCTTTTATCCTATTTAAGTACCTCAAAATTGTTTTGCAACAATCCAGTGATCGTGTCCTGGATTTGGCTGATATCTACTTAGAATTTATGTTGCAAAAGCAATGTCTTGTCTAGTGCAAACTTGAATGTACATGATATTTTCAAGTGCATTAACATAAAATACATCATTCATTTGGGTTTTCTCAATATTTGAACGAGGACAACAAACTTAGTTTATCACTCTTAATGACAAAAGCAATTCTTACTAAGGGTGCGTTTTGGAGGGGCTTTGCCCAGTGCCCCTTAGGCTAAAATATAGGAGTTTTGGAAAAAATATTACTGCTTGAGTAATACAAAGTTTTTTACAGAAATGGAAGAGTACAAGGTATCTAGAAGTAGATTGGGGGATTCTGTGTATGTTTGGCTTTTCTCATTCTCGGACTTTGATTGCGTCTTGATCTAGGTTTTTTGTTCATGTCGTAAGCATGAGTTGTATCCAATAAAAAACGCCCTCGTTGTCATGTTTGTTGCTCGAGGTCCATCCTTTGGTTCTTGCGTTGTTTGGTTAAGCTTTTGGTAAAATATCATAATTTGGTCTTGGAAAAGAGCAGTTTCATGAGACATGTTGACCGAGAGATTCTACGACTTTAACGCTTATTAGCTTTTCTAGTGAGAATAATTTTTATGGGATTTCTATTGAACTTGGTGGATTCAAGATAGGTGTGGTTAAGAGCTATTCTCAGAGCATTGCATTCAAGTTCATGAACAATGGAGTTTTGGTGTGTTGACTCCAAATTGATGAAAATTTTGTTGCTTTAATTGACCAAAACTCTTGTCATACGTTTGAGTTGGATCAAAACCTGTTTTCAAGGTTGAACAACACAGATGATAATCCAGTAGGGAGAAACTTGCTTAGTTCGTTTGGAACTCTATTAGGTTAGATAGTTCGTTAGGAATAGCTTCTTTTTATTACAAACAGGAATTCAAATTCAGCAATAGTCGTCGAAGGCTTTCTTTGTAATTCTGAGGAGTTGTTAATAGTTTCTAGGTTTTAATTGTTCGAGTGATCTTTGATTAACATTATTTTGTAATTTACTATATTTAAATGGCTTGTTTCTATTTACAATTCACATCATTATTCTTCCATTGTTGGTAAAGTTGAGTGGCTTCTGGTCTGTCTTAATTTTCTGTCAAAATCTGCACATGGGAAGATTATGGGTTTATGGATGTGGGCCGCCCATGTTGGACTAACCCAGCCCATAAATCAAATGGCAGTTACTTAAGAATTCAAAAACAAAAGATAAAAGATTGTAATAAAAAAGGAGATAGTGGTTATAAAAAAGAAAAGAACGATTAATAGAGAATTACGTTCTCTTCTTCGTTACTTCTTCTTTCTTAAGCGACGAGAAAGAAAACGCCGTACAGTGACTCCCATAAAAAGGAAGAACTCTCTCTTAAGGCTGCTGTGAGAGAGCATCTAATCTGTAGACATCAAGGTATGTTCGTAATTGTAATATACCAGTTTTGATCAGTGATAGAACATCTTTCTTGGGCATGTATTTCATGAGGAATATGTTTCTCGTGTATAGAATTCAAAATTTGTTTTCCTTGAATTTCTGACATTGGTATCGCAGTCGTGGTTGATATACTGTTAATTGAATTGTTCTTCAAACACGGATTAATCTGTGGACATCGAGGTATGTTCGTAATTGTAATATACCAGTTTTGATCAGTGATAGAACATTTTTCTTGGCCATGTATTTCATGAGGAATATGTTTCTCGTGTCTAGAATTCGAAATTTGTTTTCCTTGAATTTCTAACATTGGTATCGAAGCCGTGGTTGATATACTATTAATTGAATTGTTCTTTAGACACGGATTTGTCGGAAAATGAGAACTGGCTCCGATGGTCGCTCGGGTATGAAAACGCCACTCGATCGTACTTTTCGGGACGGCTTCTCGGAGTTCCGTCCATCAAAAATAAATTTTGATTATACAAGGTGGTAGGTCTCGTCGAGACAAGAAAAATGGTGGGTGGCACGTCTCCGGGGGAGGCCGCATGCGCCCCCACACGTGGCTGCAAGGGGCGGCCTCATGCGCCGGGGCGTGTGCAGCACGTGCCTGTTGCCCTCTCCATGGAATTACTATTCTATCCACATTGCCGAATTACGATTCTACCCTTTCGCTAGTTGACCAACTCGACCCAATTGACCGACCCGACTCGTTGACCGTTAATCGACCCAGTTGACCATTGACAGATCTGTGACCAACAAAAAAAATGTTTGGGCATGATTGATGTCGTTGTGTTTATATTGTAATTATATAAACCGTGGTATAATTTCTTAATATTATTGACCTCGATGGGAGAAGATCCCGAGACTTATGCATGTCGATGTCTTCAATGTTCCCAATATTTTTGTTGTATCATGGATTATGAGTAATCCTTTATTCTGAATTCGTTGCAGAAACAATGGTAACTATCATACGCCGTCCTAGAATACGAAGGATGTGAGAACAAAGAATGAATCTTCTAAGATTAAGAGAAGAATTGGACAACTATTGATGGGAAGGCAACGTTAACATGTTAGAGCATGTTACGAAGGTCAATGAAATGATCCAAAATATAATTTGAGAGGGTTTTTTTTAGGGTTAATACCACGAAAAACCCTAAACTGGTACACTTGTGACACATTTATCCCAAACTATTTTTTTGATCATAAAAAATCCCAAACTGGTACACCTGTGACAATTTTACCCTGAACTATTTTTTTGACTACTAAAAACCTCAAACTGGTACACCTGTGATAATTTTACCCTGAACTTACCACAAAAAACTCCAAACTGGTACATATGTAACAATTTTACCATGAATTAAAATTTTAATATTATTTTTTTTTTTTTTTCGAATTTTTATTTATTTTTTATTCGTTTCTTTTTCTTTTTTTTTTCATCTTCAGACCCTGGCCGGTCGCCGGTCCGGCGACCGGCCAGAGGCGGAAGCCGACGAGGGCCGCCTTCGCCGGCGTCGAGCGAGGGCCGCCCTCGCCTGCGTCGAGCGAGGGCCGTCCTCCCCGCCCAGGCAAGGGCGACCCTCGCCCGACGCAGCGAGGGCGCCCGCCCGCCAGCGAGGGTCGCCCGACGCAGCGAGGGTCGCCCTCGCCCGGAGGGTCCGGGCGAGGGCGACCCTCGCGCGTCGAGCGAGGCCGTCCTCGCCGCCCGGCAAGGGCGACCCTGCGACGCAGCGAGGGTCGCCGCGCCCCGCCCGGATCGGCGAGGGCGACTCGCTCCGCTCGGCGAGGGCCGCCTCGCCTACATCGGCGAGGCCGCCCCTCGCCGGCGAGGGTCGCCTTGCCGGGCGAGAGGACGGCCCTCGCCCGACGCAGCGAGGGCCGCTTGACGCCGGCGAGGGCGGCCCTCTCCCGATACCGGCGAGGGTCGCCCTCGCCGGATCCGGTGAAGGCGGCCCTCGCCCGATACTGGCGAGGATCGCCCGACGCCGGCGAGGACGGCCCTCGCCCGATACTGGCGAGGATCGCCCGACGCCGGCGAGGACGGCCCTCGCCGGCTTCCGCCTCTGGCCGGTCGCCGGACCGGCGACCGGCGAGGTTGAAGGTGAAGGAAAAAAAAAGAAAAGAAAAAACAAAAATTCAAAAAAATAAAAAAATAATATTAAAAATTAGTTCGGGGTAAAATTGTCACATGTGTACCAGTTTAGGGTTTTTTGTGGTATGTTTAGGGTAAAATTGTTACAGGTGTACCAGTTTAGGGTTTTTTATGGTCAAAAAAATAGTTTTGGGTAAATGTGTCACAAGTGTACCAGTTTAAGGTTTTTCGTGGTATTAACCCTTTTTTATGAGAAATCCTAATAGGGTCATTGCCTTGAGAAACACCCT